GTAGGTAGGTATCTTACTGCCAATATAATTTTCTATCCTTAGCCAATTACATCGAGAATATAGTCTAATCTGACAGTGGGGCGTGTTTGTGGTCTCTTTCTACCTCAAAAGTTCTGCACCTCTTTAAGTTTTCTCATTTTAGTATCATTTAAAATATATTTTCAACAATTCAGAATGTAGGTCTTGAAAATGCCTCTTATACTTAAAACACGAAATAAATGCCTCTTATACTTAAAACATGAAATAAATCCTCTTGGAGAATTTCTCCAAATATGAAGTCCCATCATATTTTAGTTAATTAAGGAGAAGTTACTAACAAGACAAAACAGTCCCCCATAAAGACCATAACAAAGTCAGTAGCGGTTTCTGAGGGCCAGAGCACGGAATCCAGCCCGTTCCACTCAGCCACCTGCTGGCTAAAAACAAAACAAAACTGAATTACATAGCCATCTACAGATTGGAAGGGAAAATCAACTTGTGTGAGCTTGTATATTTCCTGCCTCCAACTCCACGTCTGGGGGAAGTCTAACTAACTCACATTTCACAGTTCCAGAACTACACATAGAGAAGCCTGCTTGTAGTCACCACAGCTCTCCCAAAGCCTTAACCTGGACAAAATCTCATTTCAACCCTGGTAAGCTTCTCCTCATATACTCACCACAGGAGCCAAGTGCAATTTTTCAGTGGGCTGGGGAAAAGGAACTGGGATGTGCATTCTCTGTTTGCAATTGTCCATTACCTTTACAGTCCAGACAGGCTGAGAAAGAATTTCCAAACCTGATTCCTTTTAAAGGAAGCCTGTGAGCGGCTGGCGTCCACTATGTATACTGAGATGAGAGTTCAGGAATAGGAAAGCCAATATTGTGGGAACCATCTCCTGCTCTGGCTGGCATGGAGCATGCGGGAGCCTCTCTGTGGTATGGCTGGGTGTTGGCACTGGGAAACAGGCAAGAAGGGAAACAATGTCAGTTTCTAGTACTCACCACCAAAGGACCCCAAGTCCCTATATGCTTAACTCAAAATGAAGAACTGGAGAGAAACTTATAAAAACTTAATACCACAGAATGCTCAGAGGAACTGGCAAATTCCGACTTGCATGAGACAGTGGTGCCCTGTGTGGCCCCTACTCCCTGTAAGAGGCATCTGGTTTCTCTAGATGTATCTGTCTGATTAGTCCACCTTCAGGAAGGACCTTGGTTGGGTTCAAACAGTGGTTAACTTCAGTCATTCCCCAGTATCACCTCCAGCCTTGACTTTAGGAATATACACTTGGCAGCTGTGAAGGGTAAGAGAGCCTGGTATATTTTTCTTCTGCCATTAAAAATTCGGGTTTTGGTCAGCTAATATTTGACAAAGGAGCCAAGAATACTCAATGCCAGAAAAGACAGTCTCTTCAGTAAATGGTGCTGGGAAAACTGAATATTTACATGTAAAAGAATGAAATTAGACCCCTATCCTACACCACTCAAAAAAATTAACTCAGGGGCTGGCCCCATGGCCAAGCATTTAAGTTTGTGTGCTCTGCTTCAGCAGCCCGGGGCTTCACTGGTTAGGATCCTGGGCACAGACATGGCACCACTGGTCAGGCCATGCTGAGGTGGCATCCCACATAGCACAACCAGAAAGACCTACAACTACAATATACAACTATGTACTGGGGTGCTTTGGGGAGAAGAAGACGACAAAGGGAGGAGGAAGAGGAAGAAGAGGAAAAGGAAAAGATTGGCAGTAGATGTTAGTTCAGGTGCTAATCCTCAAAAAAAAATTAACTCAAAGTGGATTAAAGACTTAAATATAAGACCTGAAACCATGAAACTCCTAGAAGAAAATATAGGGAAAAGCTCCTTGACACGGGTCTTGGCAATGATTTTTTGGCTATGACACCTAAAGCACAAGCAACAAATCAAAAATAAGCAAGTGGCACTACATCAAATGAAAAAGCTTCTGCACAGCAAAAGAAATAAACAAAGTGAAAAAGCTTATGGATTGGAAAAAAATATTTGCAAATCATATATCTGATAGGGGGTTAATATCCAAAATATATAAAGAACTCATACAGCTCAATAGCAAAAAATCCAAATAATCCAATTTAAAAAATGGGCAAAAGAACTGAACAGATATTTTTCCAAAGAAGATATATGAATGACCACTAGGTACATGAAGAGATTTCAACATCACTGGTCATTAGGGAAAGGCAAACCCAAACCACAATGAGATATCACCACCTCATGCCTGTTAGAATGGCTGTCATCAAAAAGATAAATGCGGGCGTGGATGTGGAGAAACGGGAATCCTTGTGCACTGTTGGTCAGGATTATAATTTGGTACAGTCATTATGGAAAATAGCATGGAAGTTCCTCAAAAAACTAAACATAGAACTACAGTATGATCCAGCAATTCCACTTCTGATAATATATTTCAAAGGTGTATGAAATAAAAACACTAACTCGAAAAGAGAGAGGTGGACAGGAGGTGGGGCTGAAAGTTCACGCCTTCTAATCAAGGTTTGGTCCTACTGGTCCCTATCTGAAGCTGCCTAGGGGCCTGCCTAGAGTTGCCTCATTAAAACTAGACCCTCCTGCCACCCAGAAAATTCCAAGGAATTTAGGAGCTTTGCGTCAGCAACCAGGAACAAAGGCCAAATATCAGAACAAAAGATGCTCCTGTCACTCCTATCATTCGGTAAATTACAAAGATTTTAGAAGCTCTGTGTCGGGAACAGGGGAAAAGACCAAATATATATTTCTTATTGTGCCACCATCAGTCTATCAGTATACAATATTTAAAAAATGGTCGTGAGGATGACCACTGATTTCATCAGGAAAATCGTTAAATATTGGGATGCAGTCAAACTCATAGTGGGAGGTACAGGTTTTCCGAAAGTCTGAATTTTCACATGAAGCCTGAATTTTATCATTGGCAACAAATACTATCACTTGTTTTCCTTGAAGTGACAGGCTCATTTCATTCATTTTGGAGAAAATGTCTGCCAAATACCCAAGTCTGTGTCACCACAGTTTGTCTGTCAGTTCTTCTTTCAAGTAGCAATGGTGTTCCAGGAAAAAAGCAGCCAGCTGTTTTGCGTTGCAAACCACGGCCCAAGAGACCAAGGTATGCAGCAGGAGTGCTTATGTGCATGTCCCAATCTGTTCCAAAGGGCTCGGCTGCTTCACGGAGGACATTCTTCAGTGACACTTTCTGTTTGTATGTTTGTTTTTACTGCAAGTGCATGGTGGCGATGAATGCAATGACTACAATCCAGTTTCGTTCCATGGCCTGGATTCGTGCTGTGTCGTCAGTTGTACTCACCATTACTTTTACACCATCAGAGCAGATGTCTAAATAGTGAAGGCAACTAATGTCCTAGTATTATTGTGAAAAGTTTTGACATTGCAGACCCCCTAAAAGGATCTTGGAGACCACCATGGGTCCACAGATCACACTTTTGAGAACTGCTACTTTAGGAACTATCCTCCTGTTATAAAGACATACAAAGACTTTCCTGTAGTTCATTTATAGAAACAAAAAGAAGAACTAGAATAATTTGGAAAAACCCAAGAAAAATTCTCAGTTACCTTAGTCGCCAGTAGGTAAGCCCTTAGAAAGAATTGTATCTTTTAATATTTGAAGAGCATCTCGGGAATGCACAGCAATTAATGCTCCTCGTAGTGTTCACGTCTGGCGGAGAACTGTGCTATGTACCTTCCTGCATCATCTCCATTATTCCTTAGTACCACACTCCGAGGTAAATGCTATATATCCCCACTTTATAGATGAGGAAATTGGGGCACAGAGAGATGACAGAACTTGACAGGGTCACCATCTATACGTGATGGAATAAGGATTTGGACCCATGAGGTCTAATTCCCAGAACTTGAGCCCTTAAACCCTGCATAATGTTCTATGTCAAATCTAAGCTCCAAATTTAGTTATCGTGCTTCTCCCATGGATGTGTGTCCACTCAGATCCTCAAGGAGAAGGCAAATGTTTGTCAACCACAGCACCCAAAGAAACAGCTCCATAAATATTGGAACGAGCGACCAGCAGGCCAGGTAAACCACCTGGCCATCTTGAACCATGGAGGTTAGTAATCCTGTTAAAAGTGAAATCCTGTTAAAAGTGGTGAGCCCCAACAATATTATACTTTACTCATTAACGAGGGAACCAACAGGGGAGACCAGAAAAAGCTGGTTCTTTGAAAGCTTGACAAAACTTTTATGTGCGCATGTGTATGTGTGTGTACACACATATCTATATTACCCTGTTTGCTAAAGAGATATAGATAGAAAGTCAGCAAACATGTAGGTTAGATCAAAAGAAAACTAGTTTACTTTCTCCAGGGCAATAAAACACCTAACACCTTTGGGATTGACTTCTCTACCAGGCTCTAAAATCCTAATGCTTTATCCACTTTTGCAGGTTAAGAAGTTACAACTCCATAGGGTTAAGAAGTTAAACTGTTCGGGCCTATAGCAGTTTATGAATCAACTACACCTTGACAACGAAGTTACATGCCCCAGGCTGTCAGCCGAAGGCGGCTCTGTAAAGAATAGGTCCTGCTTTCCGTAGGTAGGCTGATTAGAAAATGCTGGGAGAAATCCCAAACTTAAGCAATTTTGCCCTTCCCCAGGTTCGGATTTTTTTCCCCCTTTTTTCCGAGTTTGGGACTGGTTTTCGTTCCCAAACACCAAACCGGTTCTCTGGTTGGAGACCTGGCGGAATTTGGTTTGGCCGCACGCGTCTCTAACATCCTGGGATGTAATACGGTTTCAGGAGGAGGAAGGGAGGCGCGAGGACCCGGCGCGGGACCGTGCGGCGGCGACGCGCCGGGGAGACGGGGTTCTGCGGGCTTGGCGGCGCGCGCGGGCGGGGCCGGTGGCGGGGCCGCGCACAGCCGGGCGGCGGCGCGCACGGAGGGGCCGGCGGGGCCGCGTGGGGCGGCGGCGGCCTCGCCCCCCGGATCGGGCCCCGCGCGCCGGCTTCCTCCTTCCGGCGCCGCCGCCGCCACAGCCCGGGCCGGGCGGGCCGCGGGCAGGCGCGGAGGCCGTCGGGCGGGGCGAGCCTCCCGCGCTCCCGGGACGGAGGGCCCCCGCGCGCTTCGCCCTGAGGCCCGCGAGGCCCCAGCCGAGCTTCGCCCCAGGGCCGCGCGCGGAGGGCCCCGAGGAGCCCAGCCAGCTCCGGCTCCGCCGAGGGTGAGCTCGGGGACGGGCAGGGGAGGTGGGTTTCATGGGGACCCGCACCCACACCCCACCCTGGGTGGACGGGAAAACGGGGTGAACCGGTTTTCATTGCGACCGACGTCCCAGTGTGTTTTGGCGACTTGAGGACCTCCCTAGTTCGTGGGATTAATGGGAAGAAGCTTCATCACGTTAATTATGCAATGAGGCAGCGTCCTGGCTGCGGGATGCTGTGATCAGTGGAATTATTGCTACCCGGCGATCTATAATTTACTTCTTTCATCCTTGGCTGAGAATTTGCGTTTTTAATTGGGACGGAAAGAGGAAGAAAATGTTCCCCTGGGGTGCAGGGGGCATGCAGAGAGAGAGAGAGGGCAGGGAAGAAGGAACATGTGCAGGCTTTCCTAAGCGCCCAGTTAGGCACGTCTTCCTTGGTGGATGAGAGGAGAAGGGGTGGTTGGAAATGCATGTTTCCTGCCAGATCGGCTCCGGAGTGCTCTCAGCTCTGATGCTCACAATGAGAGGCCTGTCAGAAGTTGGAGGTTGAGGCATAAATTTCTGCACTTCTGGCTGGAAGGATGAACTAGGTTTTCCAAAAGCTGTCGTTTTTGTTTTCCAGGCCTGCTAAAGGCAGGAAAGGGCTGGGCAGTGAATAGAAAGCAGTGCGGCCAGGTTCTGGTTAGCTAAACGGGAGGACTGTCATAAAGGGTTTTTTGTTTGAAACACCCAAAGTCTGGGGCTTTGGGCCATAGAGAGTTGGGTATTGGTCAGTTTTAGCTGCCAGAGTGAGAAATTTCTCAGACGTTCTTAAAATCAGGCAGCTCAGTTTAGCTCCCACATGCTGGTCTCCAACACCTACTTATTCTCTCTTTTCAACGACTGGGTTAAAAGAAAAGACACAGAGAGAAACAGTCTTCTCCCTTTTCTCCCATCGTAATTAGGGCATAGTCCATCGTGGGTCAAAGCTGGAATTTCACGATGGAAAGAAAAATGTTTCCATCTTTGCTTTGAGAATCTCAAAGAAATACCTGAGAGAAAAATTCTTTCCTTCTCTGGAATGAAAACTGGAGTGCCTTGCAAAGAAAGGGAAGAATGAGTAAATATCCCAGGCAATTTGCAGTTATATTCAGATTACTTTTCAAATGCTTGAGGTCATATAATAAAAAGGTGGGGGAAAGCCAGAAATGCAAACAGACGAGAGAGGTGAATGCAGGACCTTAGAGATTGCAGAAGCCAAGACACAGGTCTGGAACAATCTAGATGTGAGTACGTAAAGCTTAATCTTTTGGTCTACATAACATGGAATTGCTTTTAATTTTAGTATTGCGTTAATAAGAGTGAAGGGAAGCGCAGCTGAACTGTGCTACGTGCGTCCCAGGCAGCTTGGGCTGTATTGTGTGTTAAATAAGTTGTATGTTTATTTTGCCAGCTAACTCTTTTAAACCTGTAGTCTTGCCAGTTCTGTAAGTTTGACTTGTTTCCAGTTATTTATTCACTGTACGACATTGGGCTAGAATTTGCCAGGTTGTTAAGGCTTGAAGAAATGCAAAACCCGGAGAATCTCTTGCACTGGAAGATCATCTTATACAGAAATGCTTTACCCAATATCAAACATGGAAAACAGGTGTAATAGGATTTGGTTATTTTTGCTACATAAAATATTTCATTTTTCACACTAAGTTACCGGGAAGAGTCTTTTAAACAGCTCGCTCTTTTGGTACATTTAGAGTATTTATTCTTTTACCAATAAATCTAAGTATAACCTACTTCTATAAGAGACCTATTGTGCAAAATATACTTGAATACTCAGAGTGGTTAACTGTTTCTCAAGTATAAACCAAGTCACGTTCAGTAAGTTGATTTGATAACTTTTAATGGTGCTTCTTGTTTTTTTGGTTGTTCTGTACAGTGACAGGAGGAACCGAGAACCTCAGACAAGGCGAATACTGCAAGACATGTGCACCCCAGGCCTCAGAAGGCCCGTGAAGGAGACCGTCAGCTCACTGGCTGCCTGAGGTCTGTGTCATTAGTATTCTCACTACCTCCTATCTTGCTTGTATGGAGATTTTAGGAAACTTAAAACTTAAGTAGGAGTACGTGCAGATATACTTAGAAACGCTTTCTTAGATGTCGTAATCAGAGCACCCTCTCAGGCTGAGAATTAGGAGAGTTTAGTGCCTGCTGAGAGCGGCGCCTGGCCCGCAGCAGCCCCTTCCAGCCCCTTCCAGGCGTGTGCTCTTTCTGATTCTCACTCAGGAGCCTCTGTCTTAACCTCAGGGACGTGCCTTCCCTGAGCAGTTAGGAATGTGCTTTCATGCCGCTGACTGAGATCATCAGTCATTCTAAGATGGTAACTACAAGTTAAGACTACAGCAGAATAGACAAAGGAAATTTCTGAGTGTCGATCGAGAGAACCCCTTACTGTGAATTTAAAAATCGCAGTGACAATAATAGAACTTTATAGATTGTATAAATTGATATGCAATGGTTTGTTTTATTAAGCTGTAATTTAATTGTCTCATTGATTGGGTAATACATTTTAGATCAAAATCACAAGGTGTGAAGGGTTGACTGTGGAATGTCCCCACTGCCCCAGCCCTGCTCTCTGGTTCCCGTCTTCCCCCTCTTAGTCCTCCTGGGGTTACCAGTTCCTTGTGCCTTACCAGATTTTTTGTGTGAAGTTTCCTTCAGTATCAGGGTGTGTTTTCAAAGAGTGTTTTAAAAACTGAACACCGGACGTGTGATCCGCTCCCTGGGCGGTGTGTGTGAGGGAGGGGGAAGCCAGGGGGTTCCATCTCGGTAAAGGGCCACTGATGGGACTCTTATCTGGGCACTTCCGTGTCATCTTGCTCACTCTGTGAGAGGGACACTGGCCACCTTGCTGCTCTTGGGATCCTGGGACCCAGACCAAGCTCTTCACCCTGGTGGCTGCTTGATTTATTCCCTCGCTCTATTCTCTGTCTTCTCAACCCGCCCCCACCCCCTCCAGAGGCCTTCCCTCTAACCCTGACGCTCCTTCGTTATTAACCCTGGCGCTCAGCGCCTGCCTGGTGGAATGGTAGACGTTATGTTTGCCTGTGGCCTATCTGCCCCTATTAGGACCAGGCACCAGGAGCTCAGGGACTGTTACTGTGTCCCCAGGGCCTAGAAGAGCTCCTGGCTCAGAGTGGGCACTTGGTAAACATTGCTGAATGAATGACATTTGGAAAAAAGCTGGGGTTTTTGTTTTGTTTCATCTCATCTCCTTTCTCTGTCTCTATCTAGTTGTCTGTCCTTCTTTCTCCTTCACATTCAAGGAGATAAGTGACTATTACTGCTCACTTACCATCACTGATGTCCGCAGGCCCCCTCTTTTATTTTGTTTACCTACATATTCTTTTTTAATTCCCTTTCCTCAATCTCATCTCCCATCCCCCACCTCATAAATCACTGGAAAGGTCATTCTTTTCTTTCTCCCTATATGTTTTTGTAGAACATGTATTTTTGGTTTCAGTGCCTGCATTTTTAATTTACAGAAATGGCACTGTGTCATAATCTCGTTCTATTTTTACTTTATTTCTTTTGCATCACAGCTTTGAGATTTAACCGTGTTGCTGTGTGCACATCTAGACCACTTGCTTTTTTTTGATTTAAACTCTGTTTTAAACAGAGTTAAGTGGTCTTATTACAGGACTTTTCAGGACCTTTTGGAGGTGACTGTGCCTAGTAAAAGAACAAGGAGGTGGGAGTCAGGATTTTCCACACAAATTCAGAAACGCTGTGTGCTTTTTGGATGACAATTCAAACACGGGGGAAAGAGCTCAGGCAGCAGTGTTATTGGCAGCTGAGCAAAATGCATTTACAGGCATCTTTTGGAAAATGCAGGGGAGGGAGAATTTGCACCGAAAGATGGTAATAGGACCAAACCTGTTGCTAGTAATTACAAGCATGTGAAATGTGTGCTCTCTTTCTTTTGTATTAGAGACAGAGAAAAACTGATTGGGGTTTCTTGTAGGTTCAGCTAAGGTCTCGCTTCCCTGACCCTGCTTTGCCCACATGTTCTTACGTTCCTTAACCAGCAGTTCTGCCTCATGGGTTTTCAAGGAGCCTGACCCTGGCCTGGTTTCAGTTCCCGCCATCCTGACATGTGAAAATCCCACTTAATGACCGGAGGTGGGAAAGCTCTGAAGACGAATGTGCTGACTCCTGGGGGCTGGGGGGCTCTGTTCCGGGCAGCACACCCTGACCACAGGGAGCTGAGGCACACTCAGGTTTGCTACCATTAGCTACAAGAGGCACTTGGGGAGTTGTCTTGGCTCCTTGAACAAAGGAGAGTTAATTACAGAAAATGTCAGGCCTTTTAAAGGCCATTTGTCACTGGGCTACAGGGAGAGCAGTGGCCCTTGGCAGAGCCATGGAAGAAAGGACTATTGATGTCAGGCCCCAATCTCTCTGCAGACAGAAATAGTGAGCCCTGGGGTGTCATGCTTGGGCAGGAGACAAACCCCATGGAGAATTTGTGTGTTTCAGGGAACAATGCAGGTAGTGGGGCAGGCTTAGAGGAATTGGGGCTAAGCGAATTTGGAATGCCTTCCTTTTTGTTTAAAAAAAATAAGACAGATTATTATGCTTTTTCCAAGGTCAGACCAAATCCTAATTTGGTCTAGTTACTTATAGATGTGAGGACTGGATAAGAGAGTAAAAGGGAACAGCAGTGGAGGTCTTTGATTCCAATTAAACTTCTTTAAGCTGTTTTTTCAGAGCATCAATAGACTCTGGTTGACAGATTCTCTTTTGCTACCAATTTTTCTTCTTATACTGGAAGGAGGTAGTGAGAGAATGGCTATTATGTTAGAATGCCTAGAATCTGCATTTTAACAAGATCCCCAGGGATTCCTGTGGGCGGTAAAAGTTGAGAAAGGCTAGAGGCGTGGACCAGCAGTTCTCAGTCCTGGCTGCTCATTAGAATCCTGGGCAGAGCTTTTAAAACATGCCCCGGATCCATTTCCAGAGATTTGTGTTGTCTTGCCTCTGGTGTTCTTGGGGCCCAGGGCATTGCTATATATTTTAAAAGCTCCCCAGGTGATTCTAATGTTCCCAGGGCTGGGAACCACCATTCGGCAGATATCTAGATTCAGAATGCATGTAACCTCAAAGAAAGACACGCCACAGCCAACCCTACTCTTTAGGAGTCCTAAAACCCCCAACCCTGTCAGACAGTGTGGATCTTACTAGGTCGTTCGCTGGTTTTGGAGACCTGGATGCTGAGCTGGTGACGTGGAGCATTGAGCTGAGTGCTCCTGCTCCACCAATGGAAATGACCTTGAGACTGGGGAATTGCCCACTGGACGGTGTGCTGTATGTCTTTGCCTCTGCTGCCAGAGAAATAGCTTCAAAATGTAAATCCGATCACGCCACCGGCATCCCTCTTCTCACGTAAAACTCCCGTCGATGGCTTTCTGTTGCCCACAAGGTGAAGGCCAGGTTCCGTACCAGCTCTCTGAGGCCCCGCGTTGTCTGACCGCATCTGCTTTGCTTGTCTCTGATGGCGCTCTGGAGACTGCAGCCGCAGGGGTCTTCCTGTAGTTACTCAGGGCCCCTGGCTTGTTCCCACCTACCCCTGCCACAGAACCCTGACCCTTCACCTCCTTAGGTAACTGCTGTCCCTGACCCCTCCGCCCGGGTCGTGTCCCCTTGTATTTTCCTCTGGCAGCGCCGTGTCGCTCTCCTCCTCCCCCTTCTGGGACAGATTCTTTGGTGCGTATGTGTCTCTCCGTTAGACTGTAGGCTCCAGGAGGACATGGACTGTGTGTGCATCTGTGTTTGGTTTGAGACTCAGTCTTGTATCCTTGGCACCTATTTTTTTGGGTGAATGTGTACCCCTTTTCATGATGATCTTGGCAAATCATCAGTTTTAGGTTATTTTGTCCTTAAACGTACATGCAGGTATACATCTGCTCATGTTTGATTGTCATATGTCGTCAGCTGTAGGGGTATTGGACCAGAGTCGGGGTGGGTTCTGAGAGGACCAGGCTTCTGTCTTACTGGCTCTGGGTGGCTCACATACATGCCACTTGGAGAACAAGTCCACATTTATCTAGATTTTTAACCTGCTTGCTTTGACAGCTTTTTCACTTGAGTCTGTGTATAATTTGTGAATTTTCTTGCTGTCGAACACAAGAAAAAAAAATTAAGTGCTTAAAAACCGTGCATCTCTTCACCCCAGGCCTTACTGCCAGCGTGAGCCTCCCTGGAAAGCATCCGTGCATAAGGCAGCGTGTCCTGGCCGGCCCTGGGTGAGCACGCCTCCCCGCCTTCCCCAGTCTGCCCTGCCTTTCTCTGGGCCGGAGGACACCTTCCCACACCCATGCTCCCGCTCCTATCAGAGGAGTCGTATTTGATGTAAACGTGTAATAGCCTGGATGGAGGGGACCTCTGCGGAGGGAGGGCCTCCAACCTTGTGTGTAACACTTTCTTTCCTTGGAAAACTCAAGTACAGCAAAACTATAGAACCGAGTGTCTGTAAACAGGTGTTTACTATACTTTATGTTGTAAATATTAAATCGTTTTTTTAAACTAAATAAAAACTAAGAAGACAAAGATGTATTTACTAAATATTCAGATACATATTGACCTTGTCCGTTCACCACGTTTTTCCTGGCTGGAGGGGTATTTGCCGTCCTTTCCCACACTGTGCAAAGCGGTCAGGAGACTGCAGTTGGTGGTAGTCAGGTAGAAAAAACTAAACAGCAGAAATAAAAACATCACGGTCATAGACGTAGGTGGCATTTTCTATTTTTTATTGGTTTTTATTGTAAAATGGATGCATGCTTATTGCAAAAGTTTTTTTAAAATACAAAATTGTGCAAAGTAAAAAAATGGCTCCACTCATGCTCTGAAGATTTTATTCTGTGCATTACATCCATGTGTGTTTGTGTGTGTGTAATCACATAGGACCACATGTATATGATTTTTAACAGGTAAGATCCTACATTCAGTTCTGCAGCTTACCTTTTTGTTTACTAATATATCTTAATGCTTTAGATCTAGGCAATTAGTTTGCCTTTCAGCAGAGAGTTTTATTTATAGTTAAAAAAAATTATTTTGGACTCTGCCATGATTTCTTAACCCCAGTCAGTATGTTTAATGTTGTACGTCTGTTCAAATGCATGTAAGTGCCGTGATTTATAAAACATAATTGCGTTTTCAAGTAATACTAAAGTCCTAGTAGCTTTTGGTCGTTTTCTAGTCTCAGTTATCAGATGTTAAGCATTTATCTATTCTCATAGGAGACTGGAGAAATATTTTGAGGTTGAAATGGGGCCTCATACCTTAAAGAGTTTAGAAACTCCCAGGTAGAGGATTGGGCAAGGTGTCTTCTGAAGTACCTTTCAGCTCCCCTGAGTTCTCCTAAGTTCCTTGATTGACATAATCCTTCAGGACATAACAATTGCAGCCTTACTGTGTGACCATTGGGTCCTTGGTGTACTCACAGGAGCTCACCTTCTCGGGGAGGCAGACAGTAAACGCCCAAAGCATTCAGGCTGCGGTGGGAGCACTGGAGGAAGTGAAATGAGATGCGGTAACGGAGAGCAACTTTGGGGGCGCCGACAGGGTGTGGATCAGGGAGAGCCCAGTGTTCCCTTGCTGTGCCGACCTGGCATTTACAGAAGCCCAGTGGCCAGGAGAGAGATCCCTCCCAGGCTCCCTGAGCGCGGGCCTTCACCCTCAGCCCTGCAGGCTCTGTGGCACGGGGGGCATCAGCAGGCCTCAGTCTGGTCTTGGTGGCTGTACTCAAGATACTGGCGAGGGCCTGTGGCTTTATACTCTGCTTTAAAAGAACATATTTGGCAGGGGCTAGGGTTTATGCTCCCCAGCTTTCCAAATCTGCAGCCCCCATCAGAGTGCCCATGTGTCCTGCGCGCCACCCCTGCCCAGTCCAGGTGGGCCGTGGAGGAGAGGAGGGGCAGGTGGGAACCTGGCAGACCTCCCTTCTCCCGACCCCGCTGCAGTGGCTGGGCTTGGAAGGGGTCAGGTTCTCTAGGCATCTTAGTTTAGTAGGAGTTTGGCAGAAGTCACTTCAGAAGTTGAGCTTTTCTAAAATAAAATTCCCATTTGAAAGAAGACAGTGGGTGACGTATAGTAAGTTGTGGACGAGGTACTTTGGCAGACTCTGTCTCATCGGGCCCTCACAGCACACTGATGGGTATGCAGGTGGCTGTTGTATTCTTATAGGTGAGAGCTCCCCAGCTGGGAAAGGAAGAGAATAGACAGCGCCCACCCCGGCCTGCAGGGAAGAAGTGAAGGGCTCCTGACTTTAAATGAAAATCCAAGACTTAGGCACGCAGGCAAGGCTTCTCACTTTTCAATTAGCCCAGATGGAGAAATCCTACCTGGGAGCCACCTGGCTTTCTGGAGAGCAGGTGACGTGATCCTCATTTTCATGAAAGGCTATTGATTGATTATCTTCCACTTTTATCTAGAGGTGAGCTCGGTGGGCAGACTCAGATCCCTTCAGCAGACTAGTTCCCATGGGAAAGAGGAGATCCTTGAACCATAAGCACCTTCTGAGTGCTGGCCTGATGCCAGGGAGGGGGCTCCTGGGCCAGAAGCCCAGCAGGCTTGAGCAGAGCAGGCCGCCGAGAGTGGCCGTACCAGAGGGTTCTGCTCCCGGCCCTGCAGAGTGAGCATGCCTGCGTGCATGAGGGAGCAGACCCCTCGTCTACGTTCACTTGTCTGAGCTAACTGTGGCTTGCAGGCCCCAGGCCGCTCAGAACCTCGGTCTCTAATCTTCCTGAGAACTGGTGCCCAGGAACCAAGGCCCATCTGTCTGGAAGCAGGCCACCCTCCTGGTACTGTCTTCTTTCTCTCTGCTTGCTGCCCAACCCACACTGGCCCCTCCGCCCTCTGTTAGAAAAGGCCTGCAGCTGGGGTTTCTCAGTGCAGCGCCCCACTGTGACCCACAGGGACCCCTCCGAGTGTTGCCGTCTTGGAGGGTCAGGTCTGGGGAGCCCTGCACCCTCTGGCACAGTCTATGCCTTGCTTGTCTCTAGAAGAGAAGGGTTAGTTGCTGGAGTCGCCTGCGATGGCAGTACCGCCTTTTCCTCTCCTCTTGGGGCAGACCAGGCTGTCGTGTTAATTTCTGGCCACTTCACTTAGAAAGGTACACGTGGATTAAATTGGAAAGTCACAAAGGATGCTGAGGCATGGGTTGATCTGTGTTTATAGGGGATCTGCCCCAGGCCGGGTGGGTACTGGTCCTTTTATGTGCATTCTCTCATTTAATCCTCATGGCCACCCCGGGAGGAGGGCCTGGTATTAGGGCTGGGAAGTCAAGGCTTCGAGGGGTTAAGTGACTTGCTAAGTCACGGAGCTGGTGTGTGGTGGAGCCACCCAGGGCTCTCTGCTTTGTGCAGCTGCCTCAGGTGAGGAAGGGCAGGAGCAGAAAGGGAGGCTCGGCTGGGGCAGCCCGCTGGCGTCTGGCGGTTAAAGCGGGATTGTTGTTCTCCTTGTTGGGTCGTGTCGCCAAATCAAATGCAGGACACCAGTTAAGTCTGGAATTCAGAGAGACAACAAATAGCTTCTTTTAGTAAATGTATACCCCATGTAGTATTGGGACATACTTATACTAAAAAATTGTTTATTATTTATCTGCAATTCAAACTTAACTGGGTGTCCTGTATTTTTATTTAATTTGACAACCCTACTTGGGAACCCCAGGAAACACACTGGGGCTAATGTGTGGGCCCACGAGGATGACAGAAGGTGGCTCATGAACCACCCTGTAAAGGTACAGGCCGCATGGCAGGTGGTGAGCTCCCCATGGCAGTGTGTATTCAGGTGTAGGCTGGATAACCACCTGGTGGAGGGAGCTCGGGTTTCAGATGCCTGGTCCCAGTGAGATTGTTGAGACAAGGAGGAGAGTTGATGACCTGGGTCGTCGCTGAGCTCTGTCCCTTCCAGCGTTCAGAAGCTCTCTGAAATCCTTTGCCGTCAGCACTGTGCTTAGAGGACTGGCCCTCCCTGCAGCCCAGGAGTGACGGATGCCCCAGTCAGCTGGTGGAAGCCAGCCCCGCCCGGCAGGGTCTCTTGAAGTGGTTTGGTTTGGCTTGAAGAAGCACTGTGTTAAAGGTGAAATGAAACACACTTTTTTGTGTCTCCTGCCAAGAATTGAGTGCGACTCCCTGGTTCTTTGTGTGTCCCCTGCAGCAGAGTGTGACTTCTGTGATCCACTGAGGACTGACGTGCTCTGCATCACTCCGGGCAGTGATAGCATGAAACACAGCCACCCCCAAGGTTCCACCCAGGCCCTTGCAGGCAAGTGAATGGAGACGCAGAAGCTCCCGTGTTCGTGCCTTTACTGCTTTAGAGATTCTCTAGGTGTGGCCACATCCCAGCGAATCAGGATTTTAAACGCAGCCTGCTCGTCGTTGCCTCAGAACGGTGTCTGCGCCCTGTGAATTCTGTGCAGCAAAGGTCTAGCCTTTGGCAGGCCGCCCCCTGCCCACCTGCTTCCAGGTCCTGCTGGGTGCCGGCTACTAGGAACACGTTCTGATGTTAGCCTGGGCCAGAAAGGAGCCAGGAGGACAGATCTGAGGAAGTAAAATCTTATCACGTATTCCAAAAACAAGTAGAAATGGCTGCTTTAAATTTGATTTAATTGTCAAATCCATAAATTAATATTACTAATTAAAAATAAAATGTTAAGTTAAATACCGGGTCAAAATACACGTTGAATCAGCAAAAAAAAAAAATTTGAAATATTCATATTGCTTCTCTTAACTGAAATCCCCTGTTCTTTTGACTGCCTTTTGTTTAATTGGTTCATCTGTAAGCAGCAGAGGCATTTTGCTTGTTTTCCAGGAAGAATCACTGAATGGCTGACCTTTGACAACATGCACCACCAGTGGCTTCTGTTGGCCGCATGCTTTTGGGTGATTTTCATGTTCATGGTGGCTAGCAAATTCATCACGTTGACCTTTAAAGACCCCGAAGGTGGGTATGCTTCCTCGTGGAATGGATTTTGGCTAATCTAGACCTTGCTGTGATATTGTTCCTAGGTATATCCACACGTGGCCTTTGTCACAGAAGGCAAAGGACTTTAATGCTGGAAGTGACCTCAGAGGTCATGGTGTGCAAATCCCTCACGTAACAGAGGTGTGAGAGGCGAGGTGGAAGGGGACGGAAGGCTCTTCCCCAGCACCTCCCCTGGGGTGGGCGGAACGTGCTTTCCTTGTGGGCTTCTTTGGTGGCCTCCCAGCAGAATCAGGCATCAAGGCGGCTCACAGGCTCTGAGTCTGGGAATTCGCCTGCTCGGTGTCATCGTGAGATGCTGCCATGATTGATTAGCATACCCGGTGCCAGCAGGTGCTGTACACTGGCGGCCACCTGTTTGGAAGTGACCTTCAGTGACTTCCACCGGAAGAAAGGTGATTTAAATATCTGTATGTCAGGTTGTCTCTGAAGATTTTTTAACTCTCCTTGACTTGGTGTCGGCGTTCAGATGAGGGCGTATAAAGAGCACCAAGCCCGGCTTCCGAAGAGCTGGTTCTAGTTCATGCCTCTGACCTTCGCTTCCCTGGACCGTAGTGTTGTTTCTGCAGAACGGGCATCTGAGTACTGTGAAGTGTGGGGTACACCTAAGGAGGTGCAGGGATGGTCATCTTGAACTGCAAGGCCACTCCTTTCAGTGGTGTAGTGAGGCAAGGTACATAGGAGATGTTGAAAAGGCTCATGAGCAGCTTGGGCCAGCCCTAGTGGCCTAGTGGTTAAGTTGGGCACACTCCGTTTGGGTGGTCCGGGTTTGATTCCCAGGCATGAGCCTGCACCACTCGTCTGTCAGTGGTCATGCTGTGGCGGCAGCTCACATACATAGAGGAAGATCGGCAGCAGATGTTAGCTCAGGGCAAATCTTCCTAAGCAAAAAAAGGCTCATGAACAGCTTTAGATTTGCCTGACACCACCTGCCTGATAGGGACGATGCCTGTGAATGTGGGTGTGCACAGCACTTTAGTCTGCATAGCACTCTGCACTTTCTCCTGCAGGTGCAGCCTTTCAGAAAGGGAGATTAGAAAGTATCCATTCCAGCAGTTTCCTGATTTACTCCTGGCAGCTGCACAACCTGTGCCACCCGTGTGACCAGCAGGCTACAGGCTCCGCTGCACCCCAGAGAGTTCCTGGGTGTCCCTGCTGTGCTGGTGGTCCCTGATGCCTCACCCCTGCCCCATCCTCTCTGTCTCCTGCCCTGTCTGTAGAGGAACAGCAAGGTTGGAAGGCAGATCTGCAGGCCAAAGAGGGAAGCCCTGAAATTAGCCCCAGGGGCTGGTTCTCAGCTTGCTTCGTTTCAGTAAGTTCTCAGGCCCCAACTGGCTGTCATCACAAGTCCCACCCTCATCTTCCAGGAACCCTCCTGAGAACTGAGAGGTTTTCACAGCCTCTGGAAGGTAGTGTTAGACGTGCAGGTGTCTGGGGTACCAGGAGCATTACAGAGCAATCGGGGAGCATCACAGATACTCAAGGGCCGAATGTTGGAGGGTTGTTGAGTTGAGACGAAGATCTCAGCTTGACAGTTTGGACATTTCTCCAGCTGCTCCGGCACAGTTACATGCTACCTGTGATGGAGATCCCTGTTAAGCATTAGAGCAGTGGTTCTCACCCCTGTGACACTTGGGAATCACTGGGGGGCTTTGTAAACCTTCTGCTGCTTGGGCCCAACTGGAGACCAAGTGCATTAGGGTCTCTAGCAGTGGGTCCCAGTGAGAAGCACAGACGTAGAGCGCAGCTGGGAAACTGAAGGAGAAGCTGGCTGCTGAGAGCCTGAAGTCGATATTACCAGGAGCCCACACGTTTTACTCCTGATTCCCTCAAATGTCACCCCTGGTGGGGAGGGCACTTAAAGGCAAGTCATGAGGTTAAATTATGGTTTATTTTGTTTAAAAAAGTAGTAGTATATGTAATGCATTTTATGAGACTTCCACTAAAAATAATGAAATAAGTGTGCCTTTGCCTTGTAATGTCCTCTGGCAGAATAGGTTCTAAAGGACGCCTCGTTCCTCGGTGGCTCTGATCAGTGAGGGGCCCTTCTGCTGTAATGTGGCCAGTTTCATGCTGAACCTTTTCAGAAAAGTGTAGAAGCTCTAGAGAGTTTTGTGAAGGGAGCAAAATCTTAAAGGGACAGGAGGTAAACCTGCAGAGGAGGATGCCGGGCTGTAGGAGTTTATACCTGGAGGAAAGCCCTGTGGCCGTCCTGGGTGCTGCTCCCCACGTGCCCGGCCCTTTCCGCAAGTGGCAATTCCTCGCGCCCTTTGATGTTCGCTGTGGTCGCTGTAGTCGGTGGATGGGAGTGCGGTGGTAGGGCCACTTTGTCGGGAGCGTTGGTGCTGGTGGACACGTAACCCCACTCCTCTTTTGCCACCTGCGGGAAACATGGAGAGCTCCCCAGGGTGGGTCACCGTGGCGGTGGTGTTGGCACCACAGAGTGTGGTGAACTTAGAGTGAGAACCCTTTGTTTCGGGCCCAAAACATAACCCAGCGCATCTTGACCACACAGGATCTTATCTACCTGTCCCTAAGTACCTGGTTAGCATCACAAAGATGGATGTCCGTTGGCTGAGTTCTGAATGAAGGAGGTGAGCTTGCTCGCAGGGTGTCCTGCTGGTCTGGATGACAAGCAGGCGTCTGGCACCCACAAGAAGTTAAACACAGCCTCCCTGGAGGCCGTCAGAGAGGGCCTGGGCCGGGTGGCTCAGGCGTCGCTGCCCCTCCAGGGCTGTGGTTTGGTGGGTACGGTCATGTAGGCTTAGGGGAGGCAGTCAGTGCCTCCCCCATGGATCCTGGAGCTGTACAGGAAAGCGAAAGAGGTTTGTAAACGCGTGGCCATAAGAGCTGTTCTCAGGTGTTGGAATTTGTTTCACTCGTGTTCGCAGTGTTTTTGCTTTTGAACCAAAAGCCCATTGTAAAGTATCATCATGAGGAAATAAGTGACAACACAGTGGTGTCCTATGCGATGAATTGCATTTCCTGGAAAGCGGATAGCAAATCCTCGCTCTCAGAGTTCGGGGAGCTGGTTGTAACTGGGTGTCTGTGGGGCTGCTCCTTCTGGCTCTGTCTCCGGGGAAATGGGGCTCCGTTCCAGAATCCCACTCAGTGGACACGCGCATTTGCTTTTCACCTTCCTGTTCTCAATGCTTTGCCCACCACTTGAGCTGATGGGAAGAGCAGTCTTGTCTTGAGCTGCTGTTTAAAGCGGTGCTTACCTTGTTCTTAAAAATGGTTTTCTGGTCACTCAGCTCAGCATTGAAGTCACAGTGATATTTGTGGCAATGACACATCCTTGGTTGACAAATGTCAGCGTTATATTGAACTAGAATCAGGTGTTATCATAGGGAAATAAATCCCGTTCAGTAATTGGAATTCCGTGGCATGGAATGTTAAGACTTGAAATAAAAAATGGCGTCCTTGTGAATCTGGTGTGTGTGTGGAGACACTGGTTTTCTTCTTACTTCTCTTTGACTCCTTTTCCAGCCTTTTGCCTCGACTCAGCCCCTCACCTTGGCTGTAAATCCTTAAGGGCAGAGCCCCTGACTCGAATGTCTCTGCACACCCTCTGCCCAGCGTGTGGTGAGGGTGATGCTGGGCCGCTGACGCACAGCATGAAGAGGCAGATGCGTGGGTGTGATCACTTCTGGAAAAACAAGGCAGTACATCCTTGGCAAACTTAAAGACATGTTGTAAAACAATAGAATGATGCCTATAACAAAAGTGAGCTAATACAAAACCAGATGTAAATTGTGTTATCAGTTTTGTTTGACTCTAGTTGAATCAGGACAGAGGGGAGTAGAGGAGCAAATACCAGGAAGTCTAAAATCATAAAAATGTTAAAAATTGTGGATGATCGACTGGTGTGTGTGGCATTGGAGTGTGAGATGTTCCACAGCTTCCACAGCCTGTTCTGTGTGCTGCAGAGTGTGTGAGAGAGGTTGCTTTTCAAAAATTCATTGATTAAGTCAATTGTTTAGAATTCAGAATACATTGTGCTCTGTAAAATGTCAAGGAAGCTTAGGGTTCTGCGAAACCCATTCAGCCTGTGGCAGAGCTGAGCGCCACAGTGCTACTACAGTTGTCGTTGTTTTTGGAGCACAAAGTGACCCAACGAAGGGGAGTGTGAATTGATTACTGTGTCAGTGCTCAAAGATGACGAGGACGCGCAGGAGGCAGAGGGCTGGGCCCGGGTCTCTCAGCCCTCGAGTGCGTGCAGGAGCTTTGGGAGCTGAGGGCACTGGCGCTTTTCTCTATTTTTACACCTTATGTAATATTCTTTGTCCTCATTGCAGGTACAGAACAGCTCCTGTGCACAGCTCTGGTCAGGATTGCATTTAAACTCAAACATAGAAAAGGAAAAAAGATTTTAGTGGCATTCATAAAGGTGTGTGGCGGGGAGATTTCTGTTGGAGTCCGATAACTGAGAGGTTTCAGAGATGGGGAGGTGGGATTGTCATTCTTGTCAGAGCACTTGTGAGGGGTTTTTGTCCTCCCCCTGCAGGAGGGCCTCACGCCACAGGAGCTTGCTAGGCAGTGCCGCGCTCGGCGGGTCGGTTCTGGGGGATGTTTAACAGCCAGACGGGGGCAGGACAGGGCTGCAGTAGAGTGTGGAAAGTGTTGGTGTTAATAACCCAGGAGGAGTGGGTTTTGATTTTTTTTTAAAGCAAAGTGTGCCTTTGTTTATGTTTTCTTATGCTGATTTTTATGCTTTTATTTGATATTTGCTTTTTCTTTCTAATTATTTATTAGGCTTTGCAAAATTCTGAAAGCAAATGTTTCTTTGGTTGTGAAGATCTGAACATTAACTTCAAGTTCTACCCCAAAGTTTTCCCCCAAATCACTTTGTTGTAAATTATTACCCTGGACTAGCATTTTTTTTCCCCCTGGGGTGAGGAAGATTGGCCCTGAGCAAACATCTGTTGCCAATCTTCCTTTTTTCGCTTGAGGAAGATTGTTGCTGAGCTAACATCTGTTGCCAGTCTTCCTCTTTTTTGTTTTTCTCCCCAAAGCCCCAGTACATAGTTGTATATCCTAGTTGTACGTCCTTCTAATTCTTCTTTGTCGGATGCCACCTCAGCATGGCTTGATGAGCGGTGTGTAGGTCTGCACCCAGGATCCGAACCAGTGAACCCTGGGCTGCCGAAGCAGAGCGTGTGAACTTAACCACTGTGCCCCTGGGCCAGCCCCTCTCTAGTCTTACTTCAATTCCCATGAATTTCTAGGTAATGTGTAATCACTAACTTGACTGCTAACTTGGCTTTGTTTTTAATTAAGCTTTTAATTTTGAGATAGAGTCATATGCAATTGTAAGAAATAACACAGAGAGTTCTGTGTACCTTTTACTCAGTTTAACCCAACAGGTAACATGTGGCAAAACCACAGCTCAGAATCACAACCAGGATGTTGACGTTGATGCAGTCAGGATGCAGAACTTCTCCATCACCACCAGGATCCCTGTGTTGCCCTTTTATGGCCACACCTACCTCCTTCTTCCCATCCTCCACACCTGCCCCTCCTCCCTGGGCAACCACTGATCTGTTCTCCTTTCCGTAATTTTGTCATTTCAATAATCTTATATACAGTATGTGACCTTTTGGGACTGGCTTTTTTTATTCACTGTAGTCCCCTGGAGCTTCATCCGATTTACTGTGTGTATCAGTAGTTTGTTCCTTTTTATTGCTGAGTAGTATTCCATTGTATGGATGTACCACCATTTGTTTAACCTGCCCCTGTTGGAGGACAGCTGGGTTGTTTTTAGTTTGAGGCTATTACGAATGAAGCTGCCACAAAATCTGTGTGCAGATTTTTGTGTGAACAGAAGTTGTCATTTCTCTGCCCAGGAGTGTAATTGCTGGGTTGCTTGGTAGTTGCACGCTTAGTTTTTTAAGAAACTACCAAACCGTTTTCCAGAGTTGCTGCACCTTTTTACATTATCAGCAGCTATGGATGAGTGATTCAGTTTCTCTGCATCCTCGCTAGCATTTGGAGTTTTTGCTATTTTTTATTTTAGCCATTTTGATAGATGTGTAGTGGTTTCTCATCTGTGGTTTTAATTTTCGTTTGCCTGATGGCTAATGATGCTGCACAGCCTTCGTGTGGTTATTTACCACCTGTAGATCCTTTTCAGTGAAATATCTGTTCATGTCTTTTGCCCATTTTCTAATTAAATTGTCTATTTTTTTTTTTACTGTTGAGTTTTGAGAGTTCTTTGCATATTCTCGATACTAGTCCTTTGTCAGATGTGTCGTCTGCAAATACTTTCTCCCATCTGTGGCTTGTCTTTCCATCCTCTTCACAGGGTCTTTTGCAGAGCAAAAGTTTTAAATTTTGATGAGATTGGGTTTACCAATTTTTCCAAAGATTTTCTCCTGTTTTTTATAGCTTTATGTTTTACATTTAAGTGCTGGTCCACTTTGAGTTCGATCTTGAATAAAGTGTGAGGTTTGGGTCAAGGCTCCGTTTGGGGTCTGTAGAGGTGCAGTTGAGCACCGTTTGTTGGAAGGACTCTCCCCCTGAACTGCTTTTGCACCTTTGTCGGATGTCAGTCGGGCGTATTCGTGCGGGTCTCCCTCTGGGGCCTCTGTTCCATCCTGCTGATCTGTGTGTCTGCTGCTCCATGAGAAGACGTTTTAACCTCTCTGTCTCCTAGCATACAGCGCCAGACAGGAGCTTCTGTTCCTGACAGCCGTGCCAGACGCGGGGAAGTTGCCAGGAGAGAAGCACTTTCCTGAGGAACTGAAGGTGGGCACAGCAAGACCGAGGGCACTGTCCCCTCTGACCTGGTCAGCAGAGGAGCAGGGCGGCCTCTCCTGGTTGTTACCTGTGGTGTCTCCCTCCCACCTGCTCCCCGCTCCTGCCCCAGTGGGTCCCCCTTTGTGTGGGAACTGGCCTCCCTCTGTCCGTGCTGTCATCTCATCAGCTGGTTTCCACTTGCCATCACGTTCTGCTTTAAAGTTGCTGCTTCTGCACGTTTCTGCTCATCTTTTTACTTCTCTTTGGGGGAGGCATGGTCACATCTGTTTTTATGTTCCTCACAGTGCTGTGTATATCATGGGTGCTCTGTACATGTTGACTGAGTTAAATTCCTGAGCAGCTGAGAACGATCCTTGCCAGGGGGATGGAGGGTGGTAGGCAAGGGCAGGAGAAAACCAAGGGAGTGGGAAAAGCTTTCTGGCCTCGAATCATGGAATCTTAGAGTTAGAAGGGGTCCTGGACAGAAGAGCAGCTAATCCAGCCTCTGAACAATATGGCTGAGAGAACTGAGTTCTGGAGAACGGCCGATCATCCCAAATCGTGTGGGCGTTGGCGGCGGAGCGCGCGACTGTGGCTCTCGCCCGGCGCACCTTCCTTACACTCAGACTCCAGGTCTCTCTCCTCAGGTGCCTTCTGCACGTACAGTGCTAATCGTTTCCCAGCCAAGGTGGGGACACTCTTTGAGATCCCCTCTCCCTTCCTAACCCCCATTCTGAGTCTGGAAGGTTCAGGTTGCAATTGTGCCAGAAGGCTCTTCAGCCCGGAATTAAACCATAGAGAAGGGGACAGTTCCTGTCCAGGATTTGCAGTATAAGGGCAACAGATTAGAAGCCAGCAAAGTCTAGAAAGCATGTACCAGCTCAGACTAAAATGCTGCTGGGGGTTACTTTCTGCAGGACATTGATGGACTAGAGATCAAGTCTGCAGGTCTCTTTGACTGGGAATGTTGCTTTTAGGATGAGCATTCCAGGGCAAGGAGGGAGCGTGGATGGACCACAGAGACAGGAAACCAGAAATCCCAATAGGAAATAGGAGGGTGGCTTTAATAGAAAAAGTTAAGGAGAGAACTGTTTCGTTACTTGGATCAATGATGACGCGAAGGTAGCGTAAGGGTTTTGCAGGAGGAGCACAGCTTGAGACTGGCGGGGCTGGCGCTGCGCAGCTGTGAGGAAGGAGACCGCTCATCCTGGGGTCACTCCCAGCGGACGGAGGGGTGCTCCTCCTGTGAAGGCTGCTGGCCTTCAGGAGTAACTGTGGTTGAAAATACTGCACCTGAATGTGCTTACCGTTTATAAAGCACTTTACTGGGCTTTAATCCTACTGGTGATCAAGAGCAGCCCTCGGAGGTGTAAGTATTTCTGTTCTCATGTGCAGTTGGGAAATGTGAGGCTCGAGGAGCTGACCCAGTGTGTCAGGGGCAGCAAGTAGTGGGCCTGGGCTTTCAACTCAGTGTCCTCTGTCCCCTTCCCCTCCTGCCCCGTCCCGCTGATCCTCAGAGCACTCAGGAGTGGGCTGAAGGAGCTGGGGAGCAGTGGTCGGACATCATCCTCTGAGGCCAAGAATCGGTAGAAGTTGAACTCAGCATAGGTTTTCCCAAAAGAAAGGTGATTTAGAAAGGTGATCAGGTTGCATGGCCCACCTTTAAAAGTTTATTCTGTGCATAACGTAGCTGAATACTTGAGTGGAAAAGAGTGAAAAATAATCTCAGTCATTAAAATTGATTTAGTATATTTGCAAAGGGAAAAAATAGAAAACGCCAATTGGTAAACGCAATTGAACAAAAATTTTTTTTATATATATAATGCTTAAGAAAAGCAAATTTGAAAATGATGGCGATTTTTCTGCAGTTTCTGGAGAGAAGTTGTTTGGAGGTGCTGGCTTGTGCTGCTCTTGAGTGTCGGCCGTGATCCAGGTTAGATCTGAGGTTTACAAAAGTTGGAATAGAGTGCGGAGAAGAGAGAGAGACTCTGAGTGAGCAAGAGTTGAGAGCAATGAGGGAACGAGGTAAAACTAGACTCCGTTTATCAAAGCAGGAAGGCGAGTGCCTGGCGCGGTCTTGGAGACGTGCGTGGGCCGGGGCAGCAGCATGGTGCTCCTGCTCCTTGGGGAGGAGCGGAGGTCACTCTGTGAAGGAGCGGAGGTGGTGAGTCTGCAGGTGCCTGCTCTCACTTGCAGAATGTCTTCACCTCGGGAAGGAGCCGTTAGGGATCCCCGAGACATCCTTCCGCCTCCAGGGAAACCCAGGAAATCGAGTGAGACACACAAGAGATAAAGTGTCCTGGAAAAGGTTATGTGTGTCAGGGAGTTGGTTATGGTAGAGCCTTGGAGAAAGAGCCAGGAGCCAGGGCGGTGGGGTGGAGACCTCTGTGTCCCATATTCCCAGTGTCCCTGTTCCAGAGTGTTCCAGAGGCTTATGTTCTCCCCACTTTGTAACTGAACCTGTCCCTCAGGGAGGACAGGTTCCTACAACTGCCGCATAAGTGGACTGCCTGGAAAGCCCAGGGCATTTTAGTCCACTCGATAAAGTTAAATTGGAGGGACTATCTGCTTTAAAATCTTGGGAAGAAGTTCTGTGTAACTTTAAGGGCATAAATAGATCTAACAGCAGATACATTTCAAAATGCTGAGAAACAAGGCCACAACTAGAGGTGGCCAAAGGAGTAGGGTTGGAAGAAACAGCCTCCCTATTCAGAACTGCCTTTCCAGATGCTTCTTGGAAAACCAGGAGGCATCTGTGGGCAGACATTCCACCAGGATGTGAACAATGAGGGGATAAAAAGTCAAGGATGGGGGGCACTGAACAACTTCTGCCTGTGTTGGTGCATCTCCATTTACCCCCTCCAGCCCCCTCACCTCCTACCCCCAACACACACACACAAGTATGCACACATGCATGTGCACATACATGTACACACACAGTGTCACACATGTTCTCTCTCAGCTGAGGCCTTCCCAGTATCTCTAGAAAACTCTACAACTGCATCCAAGCACAGAGTAAAGACTCAGCAAATATTTGTCAAACGATCAATTCTGCCTCCTAACAAAGCTGTAAAATTTTGGCTCGAGCATTAACAAAAGGCCTCTTGTGTTACAGATAGTCGGTTAGGTTCTAAAGCAGACCCAAGGAATGTGTGTCATAATTTCGAACTGAGCTTTTTCATCTTTCTTGATTTTTTAAGTCAACCTTCACTCAAGAAGGAAAGTTAAATGAACCCATTTTGCATCCGTTTTCCTTGCCAGCTATCCTGATTCATCTCTGATTTATTGGGCAGTGGAAAGGCCCTGAGGCCACTTCAGGAAGTGCCTGGAAATAGTGTGTCACTCAGTAGAAAAGGGAGGAAGGAAAGAAAAGAGGGGGCCCGTGGAAGGTAAGAAAGGGACAGGCCAGCCCTGGAAGGACGTTCAGAGGGGACTCTGGGAGAGAGTTGTGGCTTTTACTTGGTGGAAGTCCTGCTGAAGGAAGAGAGAAAATGACGTGCTGTCTTGGCAGGGCTGCCTTTGGATACAGAAAGTACCCAAATGTGGTAGAAGTAGTCCATGGAGGACTTGAACGGTTTTCCAGAACTTCCCAGAAGTCTTTATAGGTGCTCCCTCCACCAGCCATTATTTTTAAATCAGACTTTTTATGAAGTAATATGTACTCGCTCTGTATTTTAAAGAAATACCCAGAATTGAAAGGAGAAAACATCAACTACTGTTGTAAGCCGCAACTCTCTTTGAGAGCTGTTAGGACTTTTGTGTATTTCCTTTTTAGAAAGCATTCATTGCAGTGTGACATACGTGGCGCATGACTGTTTCCTTGGTGGTAAGCACCCGATTGTGCCTCTCTGGAACGCACTTTAGGGAGAGGGGAGGGTTTTGCTTGGTCGTCATGTCAGTTGTGCCAGAAGTTCAGCCACTGTGAGCAAATGCCGGAGAGCATTGGCGCTGGTTTCTGCTCTAAGGGGTCATCAAACCAGGAGAGGAAACCTGCGTGAACCGGGGGCTGAGGCTCCGACTGGACACCCCTGCCCGCCTCCTAAGGTAAAATGACTTTCCTCCTGTCTCACGTGAGCTCCACCCCCCGCCCAGGTGTCCCGAGGAAAGGACCTTTCCTGGGACGCTGGCACACGGGCTCACCACATTCCAGGCAGAATCAACGAGGACACTCACGCTCGCATTTCCTGGCAGAACTTTTAATGTGCTGGAATCATGACCAAAAAGTCCTGCAAGCACCCAGGTATGAAAAGTCGGTTGCCTATAAAGAAATGACAGTGGCAGGGGCACGGACTTCTCTGCACTGGTCAGTCCCAGAACGTGACGAAGCCTCAGCTCAAGAATTTCATGGGGAGAGTTGTGACTCGGTGTTTTCACTCGAGTTGTATTCTCTGTGTGTAGGCAGCGGAGGAACTGCCTTAGCTGCACACGGGCTGGAAATTATACCTCCCATATGCTGATTTTTTGAGGGGAAAAAAGTTATTCAGGGACCTATTCCACATAACTCAGAGATGATCAAGACAGACACCTCAAAAATTGATACATGGGGCCAGCCAGGTGGCATAGTGGTTGAGTTTGTGCTCTCTGCTTCGGCAGCCTGGAGTTCACAGGTTCGGATCCTTAGCGTGGACCTACACAGCGCTCGTCAAGCCATGCTGTGGTGGCATCCCACATGCAAAATGGAGGAGGATTGGCACAGATGTTAGCTCAGGGACAATCTTCCTTACCACACACAAAAAAAGACATCACAAATAAAAGCAGCAGCAGTTTCCCTTGTGCAGTTTGGACCCTGGCCTCAGAAACCCCGCCGGAGGTGGGGCTCCTAGCAAGTCCCATGGCCTAGGGGCTGAGGTGCGCTTCCAGCTCGCCCGCCCCTGCTTGGTTCTAGACTCACTGTCCTCACGGGCATGGGTGTCTGGCATCAAAGTCTTCACCCCACAGTTTGCTCGGGTTTCCTCTCCTGATTTGATGACTCCACCGCCGCCGAGCTCCAGCATTTGCTCACGGTGGCTAAACTTCTGGGACAACAGCCGTGACGACCAAGCCAAACCCTCCCCTCTCCTGAAACTACCTCACAGAGAAACGCAATCAGGTGCTTTTCACGAAGGAAACAAATGGTTTCTGCATTTTTAAAACCCATGCTGAATGACCTAAGGTATTTTTTTAATTAATAAACCAGATATACCAGTAGACCAGAGTATCTTCAAAACAGTCACCATGTGTGTAGACAGCTGGTCCTTAGGTACCGTCACACAGACACTCAGAATTACCCGGAGGGACCTGCTAGGGAGAACGAAGGGGGAACCTGGCCAGCACTAAAATCCCTGAATGAGAAGTACCCGCTGTTTCTGGGAAACCATGGGCCATAATGCCATCAGCAAAGCGACAGGCAGGCAGCCCACCTGCCGCCTCGGTCTGTCCCAGCTGAGGATGGAGAAGAAGGCCCGCTCTCTGATTAAGCCGTGGTCCTGCGTAGCCGCGTGGCCTGAAGCCCCAGCCCCTGTGGGTGGGTCACACCCCAGAGCCCTGCTGTTTGCGAGGGTGGCTCCGAGGTTCTCGCGCCCGAGTGTTCCTGCATGGCCCCCAGGGGCTCGTGCAGGGCTCTGCCCTGTCTGCTGCTAACGAAGCCTGTGCCTCCTCCTTGCTTGCAGCCCACTGGGGCAATGCTCCCAGACAGCCAGCTTGCTCAACCCCTGGTCTATCTGGAGCGCCTGGAACTCATCCGCAATGTCTGCAGGGATGAAGCCCTGAGGAATCTCTCGCACACTGCCGTCTCTAAGTTTGTCCTGGACCGAATATTTGTCTGTGACAAGCACAAGATTCTTTTCTGCCAGACTCCCAAAGTGGGCAACACGCAGTGGAAGAAAGTGCTGATCGTGTTAAATGGTGCGTGCAGCGCCCGGTGACTGTGGTGGGCGGGGGACAGCTGGGTTTGCCCAGGGAGGTCACTGCGGCCTGGGTAGGGAGGCAGAGGAGGGTGGAGAGAGGAGCAGAGGAAGGCACGGTTCTCCTGAAAAGGCAGTTCTCTGTCGTGTTTTTCCTGTTAGTGTGGGACTTTAAAAGTTGGTGGGTTAATTTCGGTACTGATCGCTTTCTCAGGGCCACACCTAAGGTCAGGATCTCCTGGCTGTCCACAGTGGGCTCCCCATCCCGGGCAGCCTGCCCACCCGGGTGGATCCCTTTTCTTCTCAGACGCAGTGCACTGATCCCTACTCGCTCTGGCCTGGTAGGTCAAGGCGTCACGTTCCCTGAGCCCAGGAAGCTGCCCTCACAGCTGCCCTTTGTGTGGTGAGAAGGGCCCCCCACACCCCGTGCCTGGGAGGGGAGCCTGGCCAGGTGGCCTGGGAGCCTCTTCACCCACAGACCCAGTATTCTGTGCCGCTTGGGTGGAAAGGAATTGTCCCCATTTTACACTGAGCATCGATATTCAGAGGGTTTAATTGACTTCAGGAAATTTGGGAACAGATCAGACCATTGAGAAGTGGCCTCACACACTGCAGTTTTTGATTACTCACCACTCTTTTCAGACACCATGTTTATTTGTTTAAACTCCAATTACTCTGAACTGATCCAAGATAAGTATGGGTTCCATCTGTTAAATTCAGCTTCAGAAGGAACTTGATTCCAGTCACCTGCATTGTGACTTCCTGCACCTGGAATCAGGCCTTGGAGCAGAGTGGGAGGTGGCCCTGGGGCCTCCGTCCTCCACCCACCACTCCTGCTGCTGTTCTCAGAGTTTGCTGTCGTTTGGCCTTTTCACTGGTTGGTTGGTAGGGAAAGGGAGACACTGGCCTCATCGTCTGTATAATTAATGTGCTTCTTGAGTAATCTGACAGTATGTTGGATTTTTGATATCAAAGAATGAGGTTACAAATCAAGTTTAAAACAATAAATATATAAAAGTCTTACAAATCTGCTAGCACGGTGTGAAGCGTCAGACTTTAAAGAAGTAAACACCCATTTACAAGGGCGGGATAAAAATGGGAGTGGTTTGCCAGGCCGTATAATAGAAAAAGGATGGTCCTTATGGCTGTCGTCAGTCGTCTCCAGACACACCTGCACGGGGACAGGTGCCTGCGCAGGCCCAGGGGCAAATGCACATTGAGGGCGGGTGTTCCTCTTGCTGGTTTTACAGCCTCCACAGCACTTAGCGCAGAGATCCAGACGGTGCTTACACATTTGGGGAAGGAATGAATAAAGCAGGTGAGGCCGTGGCTACTGCTTAGATGGTCAGAAACAGATTCTTCCCTGCCAGACTCTAAGTTTAACGAGAGAGGATTAACATAAAGACGGGTGTGAAGGTTTGCAGAGGCCTGGCTAAGATCTTCTCAGTGACGCTTTATTTCCATTTATCTAAGTGGAGAAAAGAGTGAAAAACCTGCCCAACCCCCCACCCCGCCGATGGGCTGCACGCAGCCTCTGTTCAGCAGTGGCCCCAGGCCCTGGCCTCTCCATCCTGCCCTGCCGCCGCCTCAGACACTCCCTGTCCTCCTTCACCCCTGATTCAAATAGATCACGTCACTCCCACAGCATTAGCCACGTTTCCAGCACCAAACATCTTTGCCACTTGCCAGCCTGGGGTGCTGTGAGGTTCCCTAGGAGCCACCTTGAGCCCCGGGGGCTGTGGTGCTGGGAAAGCCTGGTCTGTTGAGAGCGATGGGCCCGCGACGGTGCTGTGGGTGTAAATCACTGTGTCATGGTCTGCTCCTCCAGCGTTTTCCCCCAGCTTCAGAGCAGAATAAGTGTTGCTGGTTTTAGCAATTGTTTGCATGCAGTGATCTTTTTCAAATGTCAGATTTAACCCAGTTTAGGTGTGTTGCCAGGGGTAGGTATTGCCCCCCACTCCTCCTAGCTCGTCTGTTTCCTCTAGTTGGCTTATGGATTACCAGCAGCTTTCCTCACTTTCATCTCTCATCCTGCTGGCAGAAGCAGTTTTGGAATTCAGTAACCTATACTTGGATACTAGGGTGGGCTTGTGGGGGACCTGGGGCCTGAGTCAAGAGATGAGCATCTTGCTCTAAGGATGGCACCGAGGCAGGCAGCCAACCCAGGCCTCTCCCTCTTTCCTTCACAGGAGCCTTCCCTTCCATCGAAGAGATCCCCGAAAACGTGGTTCATGACCACGAGAAGAACGGCCTGCCTCGACTCTCTTCCTTCAGCGAAGCAGAAATTCAGAAGCGGTAGGAGCGAGTACCTGGGGGGGCTGGGGGGAGCGATTCTGATGAACGCTGAGGCTCAGTTCCCTGCTGGCCGTGTATCCCAGATTGCTCCGGGAATACTGGGGGCCGTGGCTTTGCGCTGGTGGAGGCAGCCAGGCATACGCCAGCACTCAGCACACTTAAATTCACACGTCTTCCTGAGAACTTCAGAACGTCTCCACCCTTGGCTGTATGCAGGCCATGAAAGTGAAGGTTACATAATGGAAATGAGTGGCTGTTTGTGTTCTGCTTTGGTTCTGTTAAGTTTTATGGATTCTTTACTGAATGTGATCTTTATTTCATACAAAAGGGGTTTGGGTTGCAGGGAAACCCCCTTAGGTTTTCCTTTTTCCAAAGACGTCAGGCCTGCTTCTCCAGGAGCTGCCCCCAGGAGTGGTGGCGTGTACTGGACCTGGCACAGGCAGGGAGAGACTGCCCTCACTGATCATGGCAAGGATGGAGACTGGCAATGAAGAAACTACTTAGCTAGTCGTTGAAAAGTTCTCTTTGTTAGCTGTGAAACAGCCCCGTAGAGCAAGGTTTCAGAGGAATAGGAATGCATAAGCAGCAGATAAATGTCAGGGCACCAAATGCCCTTTAACTTCCCTTGCTTGTCAGCTACTTCATTGTCATTGCTTCTGGCGTGGCTTATTTGGTCTTCCCAACTTGTGCAGAACCTTTTGAACGCAGGTGTTAAATGCCCGGTCAGAGATTCTCCTGGGGAGGGGTCCTGCTACCCCCAAGCACTGATCTCCTGGGCTTGTGTGAGAGTGAGTGAGTTAAGATGCTCAGAGCCCTGAGAGCAGGTTCTGGCGTGGAGGACACACACCGTAATCACAGCCGTGTCCATGTCGTCACTCTGTGGTCACCCTCATCACAGGCCCTTCACACTGGCACCACTGTGCCACTCCCCAGACCACCTTTCCTGCCAACTGGAGCCTCGCTCTCTATTTCCTCTTACTGCTCCTCCCTCGTTTTTCCTTCCTTGGCAGTTTGGAATTGAATTTTTAAAGACATGCCCTTAAAGTAACTTTTCTCTGGCCTCCACTGTTCCTCACTCACTCACGGTTCCTGCCCTTATGATTGTCTGCCCAGGAAGAAAACCTTTAAATGTTCTTGAAGTTCTGAACTATTCAGATACACCAAACGTAGGTTAAGTAGATATCTCTACGGTGGCCCCGAAGGATGCTGAGTGCTGTGGCCTTAGACCAGTGCAGGTTCCGAGCCTCCGTTTCCTCACCTGTAAGGCGGGGTAGTCACAGGGTCTGCTTCCAAGGTGCCTGAGCAGTTTACATAAGAGCTGCACGTAATGCACCCGTCACAGGCTCGGCCGGGGTGAGGGTTCAGGGAACGGGGGCCGTGGCTGCCCCGATTGGTGGTCTTCACTCTCCGCCCCCAACTGTGACAACCAACAACATCGGGTTAACCTCTTCTTTATCTTCCTTTTTTCCTTAGTTTGAAAACATACTTCAAGTTTTTTATTGTAAGAGACCCCTTCGAGAGACTGATTTCTGCCTTTAAGGATAAGTTTGTTCACAACCCCCGCTTCGAACCTTGGTACAGGCATGAGATCGCCCCCGGCATCATCAGGAAGTACAGGAGGAACCGGACAGAGACCAGGGGCATCCAGTTTGAAGATTTTGTGCGCTACCTGGGCGATCCAAACCACAGGTGGCTGGACCTTCAGTTTGGGGACCACATCATTCACTGGGTGACGTACGTGGAACTGTGCGCACCCTGCGAGATCAAGTACAGCGTGATTGGTCACCACGAGACCCTGGAGGATGACGCCCCGTACATCTTAAAAGAAGCGGGCATAGACCACCTGGTGTCGTACCCCACCATCCCTCCAGGCATTACCATGTATAATAAAACCAAGGTGCAGCACTACTTCCTGGGCATCAGCAAACGAGACATCCGGCGCCTGTATGCACGTTTCGAAGGGGACTTTAAGCTCTTTGGGTACCAGAAGCCAGATTTTTTGCTGAACTAATGCGTAGGATTGTGAATTCAAGTATCTTTGTTAGACCAGAGGCTAACCAAGTGGAGATCTGAGCACAGAAATGACACTTCCATCATCGCGCTGCTCCTGAAGACTCCCGCAGTCTCCATGGACCTGTGCGTGCCTCGGCTGATAAAGCTGGACCCTGACCGTTACGACTCACTTTGGGCATAAGGTGCGCTGAGGGCCCTTGGCCCCTCCCCACCCCTACCAGTGCCATTGGGCCTTTGCTGTCCTCAGCAGGGGAAAAGGACTAAACATCGCAGTTTTACAGACCGGGAGGGAACATTACACGGCGTCAGGAGTCATTTCCCTCAGTTGTCAAAGAGGCGGACACACTGCCGGCTCCTGTGGATGGTGGGGCGGTGCTGCCTGCCGCCAGTGGGTTGCAGGAATGGCACCCAGCACTTTCACAAGGGATGGAGAAGCTTCTGGTCTGCAGAAGTCACAGGGGCTCACACGGTGAAATCTGAGTAATAACATGGCATCTCTGGCCCTCACCTTGGTGCTGCTGTCATCGCAGAGGCAAACCATTCTTTCTGTGACTGTTTTGTTCCTGTGAACTTCAGGATGCCCGAGGGCCCTTTTCAATAATCCGTCTTTTCAGGGTACGTGTCTGCGTGCTGCTCGTCCCTGTGTCTGAACCTCCGCCTCCCAACTGACTATCTCATTTAGCCCAAGAGATGTATTTTGAAGTGAGGGGAATGTATGATCTTTCTACCTGAGAAAGGGACCATCTTTGGGCAACTTAGAAGGAACAGGAAGCGCTGGCTGGGTCCGGAGCTCAGGCTGCTGTGGATTTGGTCACGTCCATCCTGATTATTGCCTGCCTCTTGTCTTTGACTGTCCTGTCTGGATGCGGGGTTCTCTCCCTGTCTTCTCCAGGGCCCACCCCTGGGGCCGAAGGCAAGCAGGGCAACATGCCAGCATCGCAGAATCAGTGCAGTTTACACATTTCAGTTTCCTTTCATCTCAGCAAAATGCTCACCACTGAACCCATTTCTGATAATGCCATCATCCCGGACTATAAGTTGGATAATCAAGTTCACCAGCAATAAAATCCTGGGCCCCGGCAGCCTCCAGGAACGCATCTTCCAGGCCCTGAGAGCATGCCATGGCTCCCATCTCATGCTGTCTGACAGTGAGGGCCCTCGAGATATGGGACAGCTTCCCTGGTAACAGTCCCAAGTGCTTGACTCTGCACAGCGCCCCGAGCCCAGCCTTTCCTCCAGGCAGCCTCAGCCTTCCCTTCCTCAAAATGCCTTCCTTAGTTTGTAAATGTGAAAGTAAAATAAAATTAAAAATATGTGCCAAACCTGACACGTGCTGCACTTCCAGGCAAGGGGCTCCCTGGCCACTCACAGTCCCGAGGCCTGCTGCCAGTGATGGGCCACACGGGTCTGCGCGGACGGCATATGGTGACAGGACCGTGGAAGGGAAGTGAGGCTGCTCGGGTGCCGCTGACCACGACGTTGACGAGGGGCAGTCAGTGTAGTGGTCTCTCATCCTCCACTGACATGCAAAGGATGCAACCCAAGTTATTTTTCTATAAAGTTTTAGCAAAGCCTTGTTAAAATCACTTCACTCCTAATGAGCCAATTGATTACCTCTTTCCTACTTGAACTGTGATAGTGTGAATAATGTATCTGAATTTAAGGCCTTAAAGTTAGTTGTAATTTTTTTAAAAAGTCGTTTTCTCTCAACAACAAAAGGTTGCACACCTGGATGCCCATCCTCCCCGGGGCCTCTGGCATTTAGATTTAGGTCATTTTTCTCTAGCATTTGGGTCATTTTCCTAACATTTTGCCAAACAAGTGGAGCTCGCCACCAGAACGTCTCCTGGACATTTCACAGTAGGTCCAAAGGGGCACACCCCACCACCCCTGCTCAGTGCCGCTCCTGTCCCGCACAGCCAGCCCCCTGGAAGCGTGCAGCCCCTCACCCTCCTGAGGTCGTCAAATGGCCATCTTCAGAATCCCCTTCCAGGCCTTTAGAGCAGGTGCCCCTTCTCCTGTCACCTGAGGGCTGTTTTAACCCCTCTGCTCCCCAGACAGAGCTTTACAGACGCAGCCTGGAGCAAACCTGGCCAGACCCTTCCTGGCAGTGCCCTGCCTTTGATAGAACCCCGCTCACCTAGCAGGCATCGTCTGCACCCAGCCATGCTCCCGGGAGCCATCTGCCCTCAGTGCTGGGCCCTCTCGGCTGAGCCAGGGCACTGCCATGGGGCAAGGCCAGGGAGGGGTGTGGAGTGCCACCATGGGGCAGGGCCGGGGACGGGTGTGGAGTGCCACCATGGGGCAGGGCCTTGGGGGTGGGGTGCCACCAAGGGGTGGGGCTGGGGAGGGGCGGAGTGCCATCACAGGGCAGGGCCGCCAAGGTGGGTGCCACCACGGGGAGGGGCGGGGGGAAGGCCAAGAAACGGGGCTGCCACTGAGCAGGGAGCACAACTGATTCCCAGGAGGAGACACCTGCGCATAAGGAGGCTGTGGGCAGCCTGAGAGGGTGGCCCCAAGGGAGGTCAGAACTCAGAACTCAGAAGTAACAGTAAGCCTGGGTTTGAAAGAAATATAAGAAGCAACTCTGTCTTTAAGAAGTGGTCTTAAGGCAGGGAAGGCAGTTCCTGAATATAGAAGTTTAATAATATTAGATGGACTTAATAGGCTTGTGTCTTAAATTGCAGTTTTCTTATGGATTTCTCTCCTTCACGTGCATTTTAGTTTTATTGATCTTATGTTGAAAACCATTGCAGTGAAACGTCCAGAGCTGAAATGAGATTTGATTTTCATAGTGGCTGACTGTACACAGAGATGTGGCAGATCATTACGTGCAAGGGACCCAGGCGGCCTCCCCTAAGAGGTTCGTGGGAGGGAGAGCCTCTGAGGAGAGAGGGGTCTCAGAGGGTTACTCAAGGATGTTGGTCCCCATCCCCCCACACTCTACCCCTCATCCTACCCCCACCCCCACATCCCCACTCTAAATCCCAGTGTAGCCTGCTCAACTGGAATCTCCCAGAAGCAGGGAACAGCAAAAACCTGGATCAGGATGGGGGAAATAATCAAGGTGGCAGCTAAACGTGAGAAGAGAGAGGCCCCTTCTCCTATTTGATGAAATTTAAGTTGTTCACGGGACAGTTTCCAAGGCCCTCGGACATGCCAAGCCCTGCACCAGGGTTATGGTTCCAGAGCGGAGCAGAAGAGCAGGCTCAGAGGAGGGGAGAGGCACAGCACGTGCTGGACAGGGCTGCGCAGGCCCGGGGTGAGTGGGGACAGTTTCTGGCAGAAGTGGCAGGTGCACTGGGAGGATTAGGGAAAGTGTAGAGAGCAGGAATTCTTTTTGCTTCCTCACCCCAACCCATCTCCCCGTGGACTTCGTAGAAGTTAACGTTGAAGCCGTCTAAAACAAGCCTCGGAAGGGTCTATCACATCCATAACCCGTGTTTTCCTCAAGGCTGGTTGCTTTGTTGAGAAGTCTTAATGGGCCTTTGCTCAAAGCTTCTTTCAGTCTTATTTCCTATGGTCTGGAATCTTTAAACAGTCAATTTTTGTAACACTGCAAGGACTTAAATTTCTGGACTTTTTTTTTCTTTTTGTGCATGCTTGCCAGTTTGGTCAGTTCTCTCCTTCTGTCAGCTTGCCTAATAGCAACAGTCAGTACACATCAGCATTAGCGTCTTTCCCACCGTTTTCTCTGACAGTCTCTGTTTTCTCGTTGTCGTCCATATTACCACAGGTGACAGTTACACTCAGTATTTCACCGCAGCTTGAGTCCCAATCTTTCCAGCCTACCATATCTTTTTTTGCCACACAGCCGCTAACCCCTATTGTCACTTATTTTAGGTTTCTGTACTTGCATCCCCAATATCAAGACATCGATTTCTTTATTAGCTAGGATAGCATTAGCTGTTGTAACAAACATCAAGATTTCAGTGACTTAAGACAGTAAAATGATTATTTCTCACACACCTAACAATCCAGTGGTCTGTTCCTTGTAGGCTGGGATTTTTCCATCTTATGGGTCCATCATGTCCAAGGGTCTCATGGTCCTCTGCTTCCAGGAGAAGGGTTAAGAGCTTGGAGAGCCACAGGGGACGTTATTATGGATCAGTTGTGGGATTGGGACGCATGTGTTCTACTTCATTCTTTTGGCACAGAGCAATTTCCAGGGAGCTGGGAAATCTAATTCCTGGCTTAATATTTCCTGGTGAAACTACGCAAATTTGTGGTGGACACTGACAAATAAATAATAACCCTTTATGTAAGGATAGTAGTTTACTATGTAAATAATGACGTGAAGTAGGCCTAAAAGACTTATCTCCATATCATAAAGGGAGAAATGGATTCAGGGGAGTTAACTTGCTCGAGATTATACAGCTAGACTTCTGGTTTCGGATCCAATGTGTAAAGAGCTTGGAGGTTGTCACTCTTGTCCTTAGAACAAGAAAAAAGCTGAAAAAACTGAAAATCATCGCCTTTTCTTGTACTCATCAGAGAACTGAGGTTGCAGGGCAAACTGCTCACCTGATATCTGGAGAGATGGGTGAATGCAGAGATTCACAGCTGAGATCAGCTTGCCTAGAGCTGCTGGAGCCATAAACTGGTAGGATCCCTTCTATGGTAATTTTGACATTGCTGGGGGCTGAGTGTGCTCTAGCTTGACAGGGAGAAACTCCTGGAAGCCACAGTCTTAGGGGGTTCTCCAGTTACCTCCAGGAACCCCACCAGTTTTTTATGGTGAAGAGTCAAGAAAAATCCCCTGCTGGCTCTGGCAGGTGGAAGAGAAAGGTAACCATTTTGAGATATGCCCAGAACATTCTCCATAACAAAGGCCTCCTCTCTAGGGGAAAAGACTTTACCAGAGCCTTATCCCCCATGAGAAAAGGGCATTTACCCAATTCCAGCCCTCTCAAGCCTTCCCGTCTCACCTCAGGAGTGAAAAACGTGCTAAGAATCCTTTGTGAAGGTGACAGCCCAGAGACACAGGCCCAGTAAAAGACTGAGATTTAATCATTAAAATTATAGGATGCTTCCCCTCCCTGACACCTCCCCTCCACATCAACAGGAATTGAGTATAGTAACAGTGAGTTACAGCTGAAAGAGCTGCAAGGTGCAGACTGTTTAAGGAGGGGTTCTCAGGGCAGCCCAGAGGCGACAGAGGAGGCGACAACAGCACACCAGAGGGGGCGGAAGCCTCTGGCACCCACAGTTACAGAAACGTTCAACAGCCCTGCTCCCAGCCAGATGAGCGTGAATCCTCACACTAAAGGACTTCACCTCAGTTCCTATTATCTGATACATTTTGTCTGGATTTTAACAAAAAGTTGCAAGTCATGCTAAAAGACAAGGAAAAAACATAATCTGAAGAGCATCAGAACTAGACAGATATGACCCAAGTGTCAGAATTATCAGACAAGGAATTTTAAATAAGCAATTAGTACATTGAGGGCTGTCATGGAAAAAGTAGACACTGTGAAAGAACAGATGAGTAATGTAAGCAGAGAGATGGAAACTAAGAAAAATCGGAAGGAAATACTAGAAACCCACAGCAACTTAACACAAATTAAGAATACCTGTGACAGGCTTATCAGTAGTGGGGACACTACACGTGAAGCAGTTTGGGGTTACTTGAAGGTGGGCTTAGATGAAGTGTACATGTATATGCAAACTTGAGGGCAACCACTAAACAACGTAAAAAGGAAATACAATTGATATTCCAAGAGAAGAGAGAAGATGGAATCATATAAAGTGTTCAAAACCAGAAAAAGCAAAAGCAAAAGAAACAGAACAGTGAATAGAAGTTATAAATGTGATCTTAATCTAATTATATCAATAATAACTTTAAATGTAAATGGTCAAAATACCCTAACTAAAAAACAGAGATTATAGAGTGGATGAAAAGCAAGACCTCACTATATATGTTGTGTACAACCCATCCGCTTACAAAGATCATACAAATAGTAGCAGAACTAAGAAAACCCACATTCTTTAACTTCAGTCCACTTATCCTCTTCTCCAGCACACACTGCCGATGAATTACAAAGCCAAGTACAGTTTCTAGGAAAAGCAGAGCTTTACCATGCCTCTGACATTTACATCAAGGTGGATAAATTAGGCCATCATTCTGCAAGTCCTTGAGGGCTTGCTGTAATTGCGAACAGAATATTGGATTAAGTGAGCCTAACTCCTGCTCACCCTGCAAGGAAGCCTCTGGTCAGTTACCTGTTAGAGGAAAGAATTTTTTAAATAGATATATCTTCTCACATGTCCTGCTCTCCTTCACCCCAAACTACCCACTTCTCCTCCTCCCACCCAAAACTGTGTGAC